CTTCGAGAATGGGACGACATTTTCCTTTACTAACTGGCATTCGAGAAGAGAAAAAGGACTTCCGAAAAAGTGGTGCAGCTCGAGACACTGCGCATAATAACCCATAAGGAATAGACATAGGGCAATTGCGTTCGGATAAGCATCTCACCCATTTTAAGTTCCCGGTACCATTAATCTGGTGTTGATCTTGGGCGTTTGTTGATTTAGGACTGTTTTGATCCAGTCAGCTTCATGTGTTATTTAGACTGCGCCTATTTAATCAATACATTTTTGAGGCTATTTTGTCGATTAGCTGGAACCCAGCTAAAATTTGCTTATTGGGGAGAGCTATATTATAAATGGCATGCGGACGGTGCAACTCAATAGAACAAGTAAGCAAATTTTTTTTTTTTTGCTAACTTCTCCAAGATCACCTGGACGTCGGTGTGGATATGTGTTATTAGGTTGCAACCACACGTTGGTCGCAGCTATTGCCGAACTCCTCACGTTTAGCTGTCAAAATTCAAAGTTAATACTCCCTCTATCTTTGTTCTTGAGTTAAAACTTCCTCCACATTTGTTGTCTAAAAAAGGCAGAAGCACTCGGCAAATAGCCAGTGGAGGTACATAGCTATAGTAACCGCTCATCCGGAAAGGCTGTCGATGACATCCTCTTTCGGGCGTTGCTTACCAAACGGACTAATGACAGGTTAAACTATCTGGCACATGCTAATCTCAATTTATCATCGAAACGAATCGTAGAGGGACTAACTGTCTTACCGGCGGAGTCGAACTCTCGATTTACCGCAGGATAACAATACTACTTTCCACTGCGCCATGCCCATCAAGGCTAGAAATTTACCTTCCGGTCACTCCGAGACATCTCAGACCGAAAATGGGCTAAATTTATGCAGGAATGTAAACAAAGAAAGGAAAAGCAGGTTTTAGTAAAATTTTATAAAGAAAAAAAAGGCAGGTTCTAGTAAAATTTTATGCACTTCAAAAAAAAATTGTGCCCAGCAATCAATTTTTGCAGTTTGTGTTGTGTATCCTTGCGTTTATATGCGTTTTACTCGGCATTATTTTGTTTCTGGACGCTTTGACTTTGAATAGAGGACGGGTAACTTGGTGGGGATATGTGCTCGACTGGTCTTTGCTTGGACTTGGCATCCTCGCGCTTACTGCATGTATCACCGAAAAGGAAATACTCATCGGTCTATCAGCTATAGGCGCGGTACGTCATTTTCATACCTGCTAATCTTGGATTAAGGTCAACCTATAGGCGGATCCAGGACGGATTCCTGGGGGCGGAGGGAGAAGCGGAGGGGAGCAAGAGAGCCCCGTCCCAACCGGGAACTATGCAAAAACTAGGAACAGAGTTGTAACACTGCCACTTAGAGTTACTTTAGGCTTTAGTTTACTTTAGTTTTAGATCTGGGCTTTTGCAGCACTGATGCCTGTGCTCCTGGATCCGCTAACAGTCAGACCTGGGTATGTCCATCGGAATCACTCCATAGATTTCTAAACGTCTTTTCCTACTTGTTTTCGCAGCTGTACGCAAATACTGAGTGTCAAGGTCGCCAGCAGGCTGACCGCTAGCCGGTACAGCATTGGTCAAAACAGTTGGAAACTATTCACTTAACGTTAAGGAATGGGGCGCCGGTTCTCTGCAAAACAAGCGACTTGCTCTTTGTATATATGTAATCGGTAATATAACTTTGCCTTGTTCGATACACTACGACCAGTTGTTATTTCATCATCGCGTTCCTTCTCGCCACTGATGAAGCTGGCAACTTCACCATTCTTCTCAGCTAATTTTATTATGTGTTAAAGTTTTCAGTGTATCAAAATTTTTTATTCCCAGTTGCAGATAGTTTGTGGACTTGTTGTATGCATTGGTACAATATGTTTTGTTGCAGAATGGTGGGAGCAAGGAGCAAAAGGTTTTACAAAGTCTTTCTTTGTTTCGACCATGGAAAATAAGTGTGTCTCCTTCGTGCTTGCTACTTTTCAAAGTTTGCTTATACAGCGAAGCAGTATCTTTTTCTCACAACATCACTTTTAAGACTTCGATCGTTTTGGGGTTTAAAAAGCTAAGCAAAAAACCGGGAATTTTTAAAGGAGTGATTTTTTTTTGCAAATTTTGGTAGCCAGCACAACTAGGGACTTTCAGGAGGAAGTAACTTCAAAAAAAATTTATCTTTGACAAATATACTTTCGTCTGCAAATCTCGATCCTCGGAAAAGGGCTCACACTGTTGTTAACCTTACCAACAGATTCTTTTCACTGATGCATGTTATCACTAGGGTCACTTTTGGGCTACTCTTATCTCTCACTGAAAGTGAATGTGGAGAAGGTTTTGCCTTTCGACATTTTGGCACTAAAGGTTGTACTAAAATATGAAGCATACAAACAAGATTCTATAAACAATTTCTCTAAAATTTGTTCATTTGTTTCGATGATAAATTGGTACTGGCATATGCAAGGGAGTTAAACCCTTTTCATCAGCTTAGTTTCAAGCAACTTTCGAGAAAGGGAGTCATCATTTGGCTTGCCAAAGGGTGATTGTTTTTATTATTTGCTATCGCTCGAGAGGCTTACTTCCTAACTGCGTTCGCTTCACATCGGAGAAAAATGCGGGACGGGGAGGGGTTGATTTTGATTAGTAGAACTAGCTCTTTCCTGGTTTCAGTGTGTTGCAGTCAAAAGATGAGCGATGTTATGCTAATTGTTATGCTATGTTTGTCCATGGGAAGTATCCTGAGGCGCACAATACCCCATTAGAGATGTTTTATACAAAAACTTGATTCAGAGGGAATTGTTTTGTAAGTTGTGTTAAAATATCATAACTATTGTTAGCCTAGATGAGGTTTTTCAGGATCATGGAGGGGTTTCCTTACAATGACTGTTCTGATGGGTTCGCTCGCACTTACTTCTGGTACCTGCACAATGGCGCTACATTGGCGTACTCAGATCGCAGACGAAACAGAAGTGACCCAATGACCAGTGGCCAGTGTTCCGTTGTCATGAAGTTACCAATTAAAAGCAAGAAGAAAAATTACGGTTGGATGTGTTGCTGGATAAGAACTCTTTATCTGATAGAGGTTGCAGAAAAGATACATGCGGATGAAAATTTTCATTCTTCCAAGATTTTTTTGATTGAAAAAAAAGAAACATTTTTTTGGAAAACTGAAAGTGTGTTTCAGTGCGATGTGTCCTACATTTACTGTATCTGTAAGAAATTTTTGTGGTTAAAGTGTTATTTGAAAAGATACTCTTTTTTTTGGCGACAACATAAACAGATATTCTCTTGTTCGTGACCATATAAGCAATCAGGCTCTCCATCAGATGCAGGATATCACCGTAGTTGCGCGAGAAAGTAAAATCCGATAAGCAGGGCTTGTTGCTCGCTTTGCCGGCTATCGGCAAACGTCGCGCATTAGTGAGTGGCACCCTACTTAGACGACCCCCAACAGGTCTAAAAACATGCGAAATATGGGTTAAGGGATAAAACACAGGCAGATTCTCCCCCATATGAATCCTTTTTACATGACTCCACAGCGTGAAATACGAAATTTCATGTTCTTAGCTCTACAGTCCTGTTCTCTTAATCATCATCTTCTCCTTTCCCTTTTCCACCCTCATTTTAATTTTTTACCATAACAATTTTCTAGCTCATTTTGAGTTTAATGCAAAGGAGTTTTTGAAATCCGGATCAAATTCCGTCATTGTTTGAACAGGAGAAGGAGCATAAAATTTTGTCCTTGAACATTTAGAAAATAAATTGCCTGAGGTTTCTCCATCAAGGCTGTGGGCCTTCAATGCTTATTCGCAGCCGAGCCTCGTTGGCCAAGTTGCGCAATTGTATTTTAGTAGTACTGGTTCGGGCTGTTTCTAAGCTATACTGTAGCCGGGCTGGGGGGATATGGCGATTCGGCCAGGTTTACACCTTTCACTAATAGCAAGTCTATAAAGTTTCTGAGGGGCTAATTTTTGTGTGGCGCAAAATTCAAGTATAATTGATAGCTTGAGATAATGAATTTATTTTCGATCCATACTGAATTCAGTGAATTCATTCAGTACAGCAGCTTACTTCCCAAATAAATTATCACAAAGGGCTGCTTTTCTAACAGCTGGAATCATCCTGCTCGTTCTCCATGCACGATTTCTCATATTTCTCCACCATCAGGGCCACAGACTCCGGCAGCTTGTATTCCGAGACCATAGTCTTCTTCGGCGCTTTTTTCTGGATTCCGGCCTGCTTCGCGCGCTGGCCACGAGTGTGCTTGAAAGGACCCAAGTTACAGCTTGGGCAGCAAACATGCCACTTATTGTCGGAACTCTTGTAATCCGTATCTTCCGGTGCCTTCGCCGGCAGCGGTGCCTTGTTATCTTCAGCAATAGTACCACCAGCTTCGCCATCTGCATCCACAGTCCCAGCTGCTACTGTTAGGGGTGGTGGTGGAGGTGGCGGCGATGCTTCCGCAGCTTCAGTATTCGCTGGTTCCGTAATGCTACTGGTTTTGGACACCACGGAGCAGTTCAGATTCAGATCGGCTTTTGAATTATTGCCAAGTGTTTGCA